AAATTTAGTTTAATTTTAAAAATTTCTACTTTAATAACGTTTATTATGCTGTTCTATGAGGCTTGCAGTGTCGCAGTCCTCCCAATCTATTTTTTGATGAGTCATCACTGCCACACATTCCGTTACTGGGCAGATTTAATGGTATTTCTCCTGTCTGGCCTGTGATGAGCATTTCATACACTTCATACAGTATTAATGTTTGAGACGATGCTGACACTTTTCATGTATAAGATTTTAATTTATCTAATCTGGTTACCCTTATTTCAGATGGAACAATCCAGTTTGAATTCTCACATTGTGCATATACATATATAGTTCATTTTGTCTAACAATATGCCTCATATATGTACATGGAATGCTTTAATGTGCAGTTTAAATAGAGGGGGTTCTGCAGAAAGGCAAGGAGGAAATTACACAAGAAGGATTTTTTTTCATTTTATTTAATTTTTGTTTTTCATTTTACATACATTAATGTTAATGCCTAACATCAGTGACTGGCTTCATCCTGTTCAATAAAGATAACTGGCATAATTCATATGAGTTCTCTTTAATATTCTCATATGTTTATATATCATAAGTTCATTTGTCAACAAGGGTTAAGGCAGTCTGCTGCTGATTGTTTTTTCATGTTTTAAGGTATTTACATATGTCTAATATTTTTACAGGTTCCCGATATGCTAGGAAAGGAACCTGAACTGGTAACAAATGCTACCTCTGCGTGGGGTTTAGACTATCATTACAAGAAGGACCTTTTGTATTGGTCTGATACAGAAACAAGAAAGGCAAGGCAAACTCGACCTTTTTTTTTATTTTAACCGGAGAATTTGGCAATTTAAAATTTCTTTAATGTTTCATATTCATACTTTCATACTTCTTACTCTTGGGTATAGAATATTACAAAATATAATTAATATTACAGTAATAAAATTAAATATTATTTTTCAACAATAGGCTGTTGTTTAGGCTGCATTTAATATATATTTACTTTCAGGTGTACTCTCAAAAACTGCGTGGTTCAAGCACCTCTACTGAAACCACACTTTCACTCCCTGGCTCTTTAACACCTGGTGCTCTTGCTGTTGATTGGGTGGGAGATAAGCTTTATGTAGTAGACATCTTGGGCCAGAAGATTGATGTGTTTGAACTTTCTGACCGATACCATGCCATTGTTTTGTCAAACAATATTACTGAACCTCAAGATATTGGGCTTGATCCAACGAAAGGGTATGAATTTCTCTGTTATTAAATTGCTTACTGGTATATCTTATTTAAAATTTGAGAATGGCTTGCTTTTATGTATTGTTTGTTATACTACTTAAAATATACTGCACCATGATAGTCTACAAATGTTTTTGTGCATATCATAGTTAATTGTAGTCTTATTATTGTATGTTATTTTCTCCTTAGCTGCTTCATTTACTTCTCTTTACATATTATGTTATTGTTGTACTTAATTCAACTTCATTATTTAGCTTCTTGAAGCTGGACTTTGAGAATAGAACTCAAAACTGGTCACTGGCATGTTAACCACTTGATTGAAAGAATGTGTTACAGCATATACCGTATTATAATTCAGGGTGTTATTTACAAAATTTAGTGATTTTATCATATTATAGTCTTTATTATATTTTTATTATACAGACACTCATCGTTTAACGACGGAGGTCTGTTCCTAAGACCACATCGGTAAACAAATTCATTGCTAAGCAAGAAACACATTTAAACATTTTATTCTGAATAAAGAAAAGGCCTAAAGGAAACTCCAACTTGATAACTTAGTTTTAATTTGCATAACTCTTACATATTACAGAAAACTGTAATTACTGTACAGTATAAAAATGATGTGCCAAAAAAATCAAATTACAGTATAAAGGAGACATTCAGATTAACATTTTAGTCATGAAATCCTTCAGAGTACAGGTTTGGGGTCATCATCATTATCAGTTACTAGGAGCTGTAGTCAAGCTGAAGTCAAGATCTTTTTTGCTGACATTTTGTACTATGGCATGCACAATAAAGTACAGATTTGTACAAATATGTAGGAACAAATATGCAGGAATGAGACTGAGATGCTTGATGCTGAGAGGTCGCACTGCCTGTTTCCATGACCCAAGTTCTCATACAGCATACAGTGCCGACTGGTCGGAGAGCAAGTCATATCTCTGAGCCATTGGTAAACGAGTACATCGTTAAGTGAGGAGTGTCTGTACTTTATTGTCATAATGCTTAAGACCCCTCATCTTATTACATACATTAAAATAAAGTTTGGCTCATTGGAATTTTTTTTTCTACAGCCTAATGTTTGTAGTCGATCATGATCGCATTATTCGTGCCAATATGGATGGCACCAACCTGCAAGCCCTTGTGAAGGATGTTATCTACAAAGCATCTGGTATTGCTGTGGATATTATTAGCAAACATATATTTTGGTGTGATTCTCTTCTGGATTACATTGAAACAGTTACTTACGAAGGAACTGGTCGAACTGCAATTGTGAGAGGTAAGCCTGAAGATGTTTCTTCAATCATAGTGTAGTAGGTTCATAGACAGCAACCACCCAGGGAGGTACTACCATCCTACCAAATGCATGTGAAACAGAAACATGTAATTGTTTTACACAATGGTAAGACTGCTGGTGTCTTTTCTCTCTGCCTCATAGACATGCAAAAAAACAGGTACGTCTTGCTACTTCTACTTACACTTAGGCACACTACATATATTGTGATGTAGTTCAATATGTATACACACCCTTGTGAATTTTCTTCTATTTTCTAAATACAGTGGAACCTCTACTTATGAGTGCATCCACATACAAGTTTTTCCAGTTACGAGCAGTCGCTCGGTTGATTTTTTGTTTTCAGACACAAGAAATTTCCAGATGGAAGTGGGCCTCAAGGGAGGTTCTTTGATGCTGGTGAGGGGCTCTTGCTCTTGATCTAGGGAAATGGATATCAGTTGTTTGTTGGACTATCTTATTGAATGTATGATGTATGATTGAATGTATGATCTTATTGAATGTGTGATGGAAAGAGGCTTCTTAGCGTACAACAAAAATGAAAGAAATCGGACCATAAATAACGGAGTTCACTTCTCAGCCATTAGCCTCCCCTTAGCGGTATATTTTCATATGTTTTTTTATGGTTGTATTCTCATTATTTTGGTCTCATTTGATAGAATGGAAATTATATCACAGAAATAGATATGATTTTGATTACAGTGGACCCCCGGTTAACGATTTTAATCCGTGCAAGAGGGGTAATTGTTATGCGAAATAATCGTTATGTGAATGAATTTTCCCCATAAGAAATAATGGAAATAAAATTAATCCGTGCAAGACACCCAAAAGTATGAAAAAAAAAATTTTTTTTACCACATGAAATATTAATTTTAATACACACAAACTGAAAAAGGCATGCACACTTACATGACACTTACTTTTATTGAAGATCTGGTGATGATTGATGGGATGGGAGGAGGGAGAGAGTGTGTTAGTGTTTAGAAGGGAATCCCCTTCCATTAGGACTTGAGGTAGTAAGTCCTTTTCTGGGGTTACTTCCCTTCTTTTTTAATGCCACTAGGGCCAGCTTCAGAGTCACTGGACTTCTTTCGCACAAGATATCTGTCCATAGTGGCCTGTACCTCTCGTTCCTTTATCACTTCCCTAAAGTGCTTCACAACATTGTCAGTGTAATAGTCACCAGCACGGCTTGCAATAGCTGTGTGAGGGTGATTTTCATCCATGAAGGTTTGCACTTCAAGCCACTTTGCACAGATTTCCTTTATCTTTGTAGTAGGCAACTTCTTCAATTTCTCTCTCCCCTCCTCTGAACCAGTTTCCCCAGGTCTGGCCTCTTGCTCTTGAAGTTGATCTATCAGCTCATCAGTGGTTAGTTCTTCATTGTCCTCCTCCACCAACTCTTCCACATCCTCCCCACTAACCTCCAACCCCAAGGACTTTCCCAATGCCACAATGGATTCCTCAACTGGCATAATCCTCTCAGGGTTAGCCTCAAACCCTTCAAAATCCCTTTTGTCTACACATTCTGGCCACAGTTTCTTCCAAGCAGAGTTCAAGGTCCTCTTAGTCACTTCCTCCCAAGCCTTACCTATAAGGTTTACACAATTGAGGATATTAAAGTGATCTCTCCAAAACTCTCTTAGAGTCAGTTGAGTTTCTGAGGTCATTACAAAGCACCTTTCAAACAGAGCTTTTGTGTACAGTTTCTTGAAGTTGGAAATAACCTGCTGGTCCATGGGCTGCAGGAGAGGAGTGGTATTAGGAGGCAAAAACTTGATGTTAATGAATTTCATGTCCCCATAAAGTCGCTCTGCCACGTCTGTAGGATGACCAGGGGCATTGTCTAACACCAGGAGGCACTCAAGTTCTAATTTCTTTTCAGTTAGGTAATCTTTCACATTGGGGGCAAATGCATGGTGTAACCAGTTATAGAAAAATTCCCTAGTGACCCATGTCTTACTGTTTGCCCTCCACAGCACACACAAATTATCCTTGAGGACATTCTTTTGCCTGAACGCTCTGGGAGTTTCAGAGTGATACACTAATAAAGGCTTCACTTTGCAATCACCAGTAGCATTGGCACACATGAGAAGAGTAAGCCTGTCTTTCATAGGCTTATGTCCTGGGAGTGCCTTTTCCTCCTGAGTAATGTAGGTCCTGCTTGGCATTTTCTTCCAGAACAGGCCTGTTTCATCACAATTAAACACTTGTTCAGGTTTCAGTCCTTCAGTTTCTATATACTCCTTGAATTCCTGCACATATTTTTCAGCTGCTTTGTGGTCCGAACTGGCAGCCTCACCATGCCTTATCACACTATGGATGCCACTACGCTTCTTAAATCTCTCAAACCAACCTTTGCTGGCCTTAAATTCACTCACATCATCACTAGTTGCAGGCCTTTTTTTAATTAAATCCTCATGCAACTTCCTAGCCTTTTCACATATGATCGCTTGAGAGACGCTATCTCCTGCTAGCTGTTTTTCATTTATCCACACCAATAAGAGTCTCTCAACATCTTCCATCACTTGCGATCTTTGTTTCGAAAACACAGTTAAACCTTTGGCAACAACAGCTTCCTTGATTGTCTTTTTGGTGCCCACAATAGTAGCGATGGTTGATTGGGGTTTCTTGTACAACTTGACTAGGTCGGCAATACGCACTCCACTTTCATACTTATCAATGATCTCTTTCTTTATTTCAATGGGTATCCTTACCCTTATTGGTGTACGGTTGGCACTAGAAGCTTTCTTGGGGCCCATGGTCACTTATTTTCCAGAAACACCACCGAAAACACTGTAATAATACGAAATATTCCGAGTGTATGCTTGGATGTTAGCGCGGAGGCTGCCTGGTAAACAATGGCACGGGCGGCACATGTGAGGCTGGGTGAGGGCCACATTGGACGCGTCTCGGACGAAAATCGGTGAGCGGGTTTTTAATCGGTATGCGCGGCAAAAATTTTGCGATTAAAGTAAGCGGTATGCGAAATAATCGCTATGTGATGCCATCGTTATGCGGGGGTCCACTGTACTTTCATGATGAAAAGTACCTCAAAATTGAGCGATGTTCAAGAGTAAACAAATGACATCACCATCCAGTACCTGCCCTACTGGCACAGCCCTTGAACCTTTACATATTGGAAAGCTCTTCAACACGCTAGCAAAAGTGGGAGTAGACATCACGAGGTAGCAGTGGCAGACAACATGAAACAGCAGTGGCAGACATCATGAAGCAACAGTGGCAGACATCATGAGGTAGCAGTGGCAGACAACATGAAGCAGTATTGGCAAAGTGTAGCATTAAGAGTGTGGCAATTAAGTGTAGCATTAAAAGTTTAGCAATTAAGTGTAGCATTAAGAGTATAGCACTTATAAGTCGCTCTCTCTGACTTTTTTGGGTTATCCTCGGTTCTCTACACATGTAGTCAGGAGCAGGAATGGCCGCTGTGGTGGCCCTATTAACCCCAACAACATCAATGGCTGCTATCACCACCACTAGCCACATACATAATGATATGTATTTTATTCATTCTAGTGTATATATCATGTTTCTATGTTATTAATGTTGTTTATTATGTCATATTACATAAATTGTGATAGATAAATAAGCCATAGAATTTATATTAGGGAAATTATTTAAGTATTTTCTCGTGTCTGGAATTCCACTGGAACGAATTAATTCCATTTCAATTAATTTAAATGAGGAAATTTGACTCTGCAAACAAGCAAATCCAGATGTGAGCAAGGGGATGGAAGAGATAAAATGTGTAAGTAGAGGTTCCACTGTAGTTCTTGTTCTTAACTATTTCCTTTCATCTACATGGGGAAGTGGAAAAGAATCTTTCCTCTGTAAGCCATGTGCGTTGTAAGTAGCGATTAAAATGCAAGGAGCATGGGGCTAGTAACCTCTAATCCTGTATAAATTGCTAAATTTAAAAAGATAAACTTTTCTTTTTGGGTAACCCTGCTTTGGTGGAATACGGCCGGTTTGTTGAAAGAAGAAGTAGAAGAAAAACTTCGTAAAGCTGGGATGCTTGAATGTGCATGGATGTAGTTCATTATAAGAGAGAGATGATTGCCAATATAAGAACATAAGAAAGAAAGAAAGAAAGAAAGAACATTGCAGCAGGCCTACTAACCCATGCGAAGCAGGTCCGTGTCCCCTCCTCCCCCCGGATTAGCCCAATGACCCACCTAGTCAGGTCACTTCTGATCCAAGTGAAGCAGGTCCATGTCCCCCCCTTCCCCCAGATTAGCCCAGTGACCCACCTAGTCAGGTCACTTCCACTTAAGGAAGGAGGAAGGCATCAGACATAATAGCACAAGCTAAATAACAAAAAAAGGCACAATACCGTGACTGGAACAATACACAAATAACCCGCACATAAAAGAGAGAAGCTTACGACGACGTTTCGGTCCAACTTGGACCATTTACAAAGTCACACTAACCAGAAGTGGAGCAGGACAGCTATATATAGGCAGGAAGAGGTGGAGGTAGTAGTAGCAGTAGTAGTAGTACAAGAATGGTATATAATACCGACAAGATGAAATTAAGACACATGCGCAACACCCGGGCATCCCTATCGTAGATGTTTCGCCATCCAGCCAGCCACTGGATGGCGAAACGTCCACAACAAAGACACCCAGACGCCGCACATGTGTCTTAATTTCATGTGCGGCATCTAGGTGTCTTTGTTGTGGACGTTTCGCCATCCAGTGGCTGGCTGGATAGCGAAACGTCTGCGATAGGGATGCCCGGATGTTGTGCGTGTCTTAATTTCATCTTGTCGGTATTATATACCATTCTTGTACTACTACTACTACTACTACCTCCACCTCTTCCTGTCTATATATAGCCGTCCTGCTCCACTTCTGGTTAGTGTGACTTTGTAAATGGTCCAAGTCGGACCAAAACTTCGTCGTAAGCTTCTCTCTTTTATGTGTGGGTTATTTGTGTATAGCACAAGCTAATCAGGTCCAACT